AAAAAAAAAAAAAAAAAAAAAACAATAATAATGATAAATGTATTAGAAAGGTTAAGGAAGCTTCAAGCCTTCCCAAGAAAGGCTTAGGAAAATAAATATAAAATCCCAAATCACAGCAGGTACACAGTGTCACAGCATCTTCCTTGTCATGACCACCACACCCCAGACATCCTCATCATTGCCAGGCCTGACTCAACTGGGTGGCCCCAAAGTGGCACCTTCTCCTGTTGACATCACATGCCCGAAGTACAAAGTTACATTTACACCAGGCAGCTTTGAAACGTGGGACCAGATCACTTCTTGCCAACATTTGTGTTCCGGTTGGCCTCTGTCAACTACACGGCTGAAGCACCCTCCTCCTTACCTGAATCGTCAGGTTGCTTTTAGTATTCAGAACTTTCCTCTGGGCATCCTGGAAGGCCCTCTGTAGCCTCTGTTCCATCGTCTGAGCAAACTTGCAGGACCGTATGTTGTCCGACTGGCTCACAAACTGTAGCACTAGAATGAGAGTAATAAATCAGTGCTCACCAAAGCTCTGTGTCTTAGTTCCTTGAACTCAGTAGCAGTCATGATATAAAACGGCATGATTTTACATCAGAGAAATCAAGCAAATAAGGACAGCTGCAGTTTTGGAAGTGGCTCTTAAAATGATTTATAACATAGAAGAATTAAAAGCAGGATCGAACCTGAGATTCCCTCCAATGCAAAGGATTTTGTGATTTCATTTGATTGGCATATGGAGACATCTGCTCCAAGACAACAAAATGGCTTAAGAGTGATCATGTCTTCTATTTCTTTGGAGGGGAAAAAAACAATCAGTTGGCCTGCGTGACTAAGTTGTTTTGAGTCTTTCCATTTCAATGGTTCCTCTACTCTTGTGGTTTACAAACCACAGGAGCAGAGTCACCAGGGAGTTTGAAAGAAAGATTCCAAGGCCTAAGCTCAGAGATTCTGATTCAGGGGCATCTGGAACGTGTTGCTGCAAAGCACAAATTTTATGGACGCTCAACTCTCCTCAGTATCCGCTGGTAATACAGAAAAAAAAAATACAGTATTTGATGCTCACAAGTACGATATACTCATAATTATATAAATTGGGAAGAAAGACTCCTGTGAAAGAATATTTCTAATGAATCCAGGTTGGAAAAGTTTAGGCTGCTGTGCAAGGAACTTGGACATTTGATTATAGCAAGGCCCTTGGAGGAAGGTACACAATGACTCTAAGAAATAACAGAGCAGCCAGTGATGGAGTTTTCAAACAGGTGTCCTCTTGGTACCACCGCTGATCCCAGAGCAGATAGGAATCCTTTCCTTCTGAGTTACTTGCCTGTTTTCAGCTGCAAGTAGCCTGCAGGCTGGGGAGTCCACGGGGAGGCAAGTACTGCCACAGACTGCAAGGCTGGGATGTGTTGCTTCAGATCTGCAGTGACATTGCTGATCCCATAAACGCCCAGCGTTTCAATCACTGCAGCAGGCAAGTAGACCAGCCTCCCTTTGGTAGCATAATAACCAACAGTGACATTGTGAGAATGTTCCAGAATGTCCACCTACAAAACAAATGGACCCACAGAACTCAGTGTTCATTTCCATGGTACTTTAAGTTCTTCTTGGTGTTTCTTAGAACCACAACTGTTACTCAGCATGGCTGAGGAATAGGACACTCCCATTCGACAAATATTCTAAGAATCCCATAAGCCTATGGGGATTGTCAAGTCTCAAAATACAAGAATACAACAAAATATAGTTTATATTGAACCTACGGATATGGGATTCAATCTATATTTAATTTAATTCTGGAATAGAATTAAATGTGCGGGTTTTTAAAATTATTATTCTTTAAGTGCCTCAGTAAAATCCGTGGGCATCAATTAGCACCCAAAAAGGCATGCAGGAGACGGCAGCCAAAAGAGATTCCCAGGGAATGGAATGCTGGGAAAAACAGCTGTATCATATTTCTCATCATTTATAAACATTAAGAGGCAGAAGTGACAGACTAAGTGGAGGCCCTTCAGGACAGGGGTCAGGTAGTAAAGGAGGTGAATTCCTTTCTTTAGAAGCTGAGAGAAGACCTGTTCAGACTTCATTCCATTCTTAGCTTGTGACTGGTTCAAGACCAAGGCAGGGATGGGCCATGGAGAGTTTCTCTTACAGCTGAGTCCTAAGGGATGTTGATGATCTGAGCTCATTCTGACCCAACTGGAAGATTCTGAGACTTTCGATTTTATTCTTACTTTGTTTTGTTTTCTTAGAGTTTTATATCAGCAGTTTAGGGTGTTTTTAACACCCGCTTTCCTCCCTCTTATTCTTGCATCTCTATTAGGAGTGTCATGTGTATTTGCCAAAGAAACCAAGACAACTGATTTTGCAGCAGGCTGGGTATGCCTTTGCTTCCTCCACACTGTGTGCTCCCCAGCACGTTGTTACCTAAAGGCAGTGTTCAAGGTGACTTTAGGTGGGACTTTAGGTGACTTTCTGGATGGAACATGGACTCAGCACCAAATGCCACCAAATCACCCAGCAAGAAAGTTACTCCCATTCCAATCCTTCCAATTACCTCAAGGAGCAGGTCTCAGTTTGAGGATAATTGACTTTTAACACCTCTCTAATCCTTGCTAACCATATTTTTAAACAAACAAAGGAACACCAGGCCCAGCCTTAATGCCTTCTGTAAGCAACAATGTCTAGCTAGAATTTAACAGACTGTCTCCATTATTTTCATTTTTATTTTTATCTTTTAAAAGTTTTGGCTACACCACTCGGCTTGCAATATCTCAGTTCCCTGACCAGGGATTGAACCTGGGCCATGGAAGTGAAGGTGCAAATCCTAACCACTAGACCACCAGGGAACTCCCTATTCTCCTTTTTATGATTACCTTTTATTTGTGGCAAATGATCCTGATTGCCATTTATGGTGGTAATATCAAACATCCTTTCAGAAGAAACGTGTTTAAGTGGGTTTTTTTTTAATTTTTTGGAGTATAGTCAATTTAAAATGTTGTGTTAGTTTCAGATGTACAGCAAAGTGAATCAATTATACATATACATATATCCACTCTTTTTAAATTCTTTCCCATATAGGTCACTACAGAGTATTGAGAAGAGTTCCCTGTGCTAGACAACAGGTTCTTATTTGTTATCTATTTTATATACAGTAGTGTGTGTGTGTCAATCCCAATCTTAAGTGTTTTTTAAATAAAAGCCGATTTAAAAAAAAACTAACATGTACTAATTGTCACAGCGGTCTGTGATGATATGCAAAAAAGGCAAAAGCTGTGAGGGTAATTTGCAGACGACCAAAGTTTAGTGAAAACTGTCTCAGGTAACTACCTGGAAGCATTCACATTTTCAACTTTCAAATAAAGTTTCTGGCGCAGAAACCACAGATGCCTCTCGTGGAGAGCATTTCTTCTTCTTCTTTTTTTTTTTTTTTTTCAGAATTACATAAAAGAGATTAACAATGACCAATAAACTGTGTACCCAGTCTCCTTCCTAGTCCTTCATGTGGTGGTGGGGAAGGACCCCTAATCTGAATGCAGCTGGGGCACAAAGCATCAAAGGAGGAAGTGAGAGCACTATTTTTTAGTGATGTAAAGGGTTGTCCTCTGACTGCCAATCACATTTACTGCTTGAAAACTTGGAATCAAACCAAAAGGGTGTAAAGCAAGGCTTCCATCACTTAGCTATGCCATCAAAATCAGCTAGTGGTTGTTAAATAGTTCTTGGCATTAAAGTGTTTAGAGAAAAAAATGTTTACTTCCCTATCTGCTGCTGGCAATTTAAGCAAAGGTGGACTCAGTTTACAAGTCAGAGTGATTTTTAAATGTCCAGAAATAAATCACTAATTGTTCACAATGGTGAGGAAGATAAAGGAAAAACACAATGGATGATTTCTGCAAAATTACACTGACACAATTAAATACTTTCCCCAAACAACAGGATAATGGGACAATTTGAAACAGAACCTCCAGGCTTAAAAAAAAAACAAAAACAGAACAAAAGAAAAAAAACTAGACATAAGGCAATTATCCTCAATTTTCCATCTCAGAATTTGACCCTCTCCAGCTACCATGCATTAGCTATTTGCCCAAATGACGAAAGATCCTACTTCTGCTGTGGCTATGGTACCCAGGTAGGAAGAAAACAACCTAAACAGACTCTGGACCCAAAAGGAAGAGATAGATGAGCCTGGTTACAAAAGCAGGGGGCTTACATGAGCCAAGACGTCATTCTGGCGAAATGCCTTCCGCAACGCCTGTGTGAGCCCTCTGGCTACATTAAGCTTCAAGGTTTCACTGATCTGCACCCTCCTTTGGGTCAGAAAGAGAACTGTGGGGCGAAACAGAAGCATGCAATCAGCGTAAGGCAGAGGCCTCCCAATGAATGAGCCCTCCCCTCCTCCCCAGCTACCCACCGCCTCCTACAGGTTCTGAGCAAAGCTAGTGGGCCCAGGTCCAACCAATGGGGCAGCAGCTCCGTTGGTCCCGCTCAAGTCCTAAGGAGAGAAGGCCCCAGCCATTCGTGTGGCCCTAGTGGAGAGAGAGCTAGCATGCTGGTGGCACTTCACTTCTGACCAACGCTGCCTCTGACTCTGAAAGCCAGGCTAAGCCTTGCCTGCCCCTGACCGGTCTGCATGCAAGGAAATTCCTGGAACAGCATCCCTGAGAACCTCCTTAACTGCAGGCCCTGCATCCTAAAACAGCCTAAATCAACCCTGCATCAGGAGGTGCAGTCCTCTCCCCACAAGCGGGACAGAGACAGGAATGGAGACCTGGCATGCAGAAGAGGCATCTGTGATTGAACATGACGGGTGCTATGTGAACGGAAGCCTAGGATGTGGTTGGAGGCCCTTGGAGGAGCATCCAGCTCTGACTTGCGCAAGGGGGTGGGGATCAGGGAAGGTTTCCCGGAGGAACTGTCGCTTCCACTGAGTCTTGGAGAATGATGGGCGTGAGCCAGGCCTAGGCTGGAGGGACTGCCCCCTGCCACTCTCAGCAGAGGGAAGACCAAGTGCAAAGGCACAGGGGAGAGAAGTGAATATTTCAGCCTACAGTATCAGGCTCGGTCCTGGGGCAGTGGGCAATGAAGGGTTTAAAGCAAAGGCATGTATTTTAGGAGGCTCCCTGGACTCCAGACTGGAGAACAGATTGGAGGGTGGGGGAAGTCTGAAGGCAGACAGAGAAATCTGGCTGTGGTTTCAGAAATTTAGGTGAGTGATGGTAACGGTGTGAACCAGGGAAGCGGCAGTGAGGGTGGAGGGAAGAGGTATTTAGGAGGTAGAACTGGAAGGAACCGGTCATTGACTGGGGGTGGCTGGGGTGAAGGGAGGTTGTGAAGAGGAAGGGGAGAATGTTCCAGATTTCCGCACCTAGGTGGCTGGGATGTGGAAAACCAGATGGTACAACTGCTTGAGAAACTGAAAAAGATACTGTGCTTTCTGCTCTGCCTAGTTTCACAATTTCCCATTTTAGAATAAGACACGTCTCAAGAGATAATTTCATTTAATTCTTTGCGGGGTGAAGACGAAGGCGGGACATGAGCATTCAACACTGGCATGTTCTTTCAAATAATGTGTCTAATGCTTTTTATAGCAGACATTACCGCACTATTAAAAGCATCCTGTGCCTTTTTGGCCCGTCTGCTGCAACTCAGAGGCGGGGCCTAAAAAAGATAGCATCTACGCGACTTTTTCAAGAAGGTCTCCTTTTTAACATCGGAGGAAATCTTGGGCGCCAACCTAGTGTACGGTAGCTGTACTGTTAGTATCTGCTGGTTGAGAAAATACATGACAGAAAGCCTTTCTGAGTTCTGTAGCCCTTCCCAAGATTCTGTATTTTACCGATCACATCATTCACGCATGTGAGACATCACCGAGGTCTCTACACGCAAACTTTGGTGTACATTTGTTTTCTTAGACTCACTGGCAGAACTGGTTTCCCAGGGGCCTCTGATATCAGGATGGATCCCAGGACTAGAATCCATGTCACATGCTGCTCCTCTCCTCTGTCACTTGATAAAGATCAGGGCTTCTCAACCTCGGCATTACTGATGTTTTGGGTTGGATCGTTCTTTGTTGCCTGACTGTCCTATGCACTGTAGGATGTTTAGCAGCATCCCCGGGCTCTAACGCACTAGATGCCCGTAACACTGTCCCTACCCTCCAAGTTGTAGACACCCAAAAACATCTCCAGACATGGCCAAATGTCCCCTGGTGGCTGGGCAGGGGGGCAAGATCCCCCCCTGGTTGAGAACCACTGATCTCAAAGAAATCTAATAATTCTGCTATACCTCTGAGGCCAGGATGCACTTGCTGCTTTCAAGTCAAATCAGGAGAGTGGACTCTTACCTGTCTTCACCAGGAGCTTACTGGACATCTGACACTCCAGGTTGGATGCCATTTTGCCAGTTGTGACCATGGCCATGGACACAGAGGGAAGAGCGGCGTCTGTGTCTATACCTCTGAGGCCAGGATGCACTTGCTGCTTTCAAGTCAAATCAGGAGAGTGGACTCTTACCTGTCTTCACCAGGAGCTTACTGGACATCTGACACTCCAGGTTGGATGCCATTTTGCCAGTTGTGACCATGGCCATGGACACAGAGGGAAGACCGGCGTCTGTGTTTTCTGCTGACAAAGGCGGCACCCGGGTGGCCCTTACTGGTGCAGTGATGGACGTCAAGGCTGACGTGATTGCCAGCGGGCGTGCGGTGGACACCTTGGGCATCTCTGGGCTGGTGGGGTTCAGGAAGCCCGTGTGCATGGCTTGTGGTTTCCTGGGGAGGTGTGTTGTGGACAACAGGCCAGAGGCAGTGCCTGTGTTCCCTTGCATGGCCATGGGAGTGCTCATGGTGTGTGCTGTTCTTGCAAACATGTAGGTCGGCGTGAACGAGAAGGCTGGATGGGCTACCCCTGGTGTCACCTTTGGGCCAGATGCTGCGTTGCTTGTGACGTTTTTAGCTACAGCAGTGGTCCAGCTGCTCTTGACTAATCCCGAGGCCACAGCCGAAGGGCTGCTGCCGGCGCCCTTAGCAACCAGGGCTGCAGACAGCACCAGTGGACTTGGTTTCCGAAGAAACAACATGGTTGCTGCTGTTGGTTCTGCCTTGGGCGACACCGAGGAGTCCACTGCAAAGAGAGAAAAGCGAAGTTTGTCATTGGTCCGGAATGCACACACCACTGTGGGAATGGATGGATGTAACTTATGGATTTGCTGGGGTGAAAAGTCTCTGAGCACTGGAATTTAGGCAAAACAGCTTTAGGCTCATTAAGTCGATTAACCATAATGAGAATGCCACTTAGAGCAAAGCTATGGTTCGAAATAAGGACACTTAAATTCTGAATACTTTCCAAAAAATCAAGTCGGCAGAAGATCAGGGGCCTGACTATCTGGACTGCTAACTCATTCACCATCCTGGAATCAGGTATATCTGCTCCTTCTGAGCAAAGCTGGGTATCTGTGTTGAGCTTGAAGATGCTTTGGCCCCAGAAGCAGTCACACCTATTTTGAGGGAGGGGGTACCAGGAAACAAACTACCTGCATTAGTGGCTGCACCTGTCCACTTCTCGGGGCGCTGAGAAGCCGGCAGTGCTTTGGATGGGGTCCTGAATAAGGCACTGGTTGATAGAGGAGGGGATTCAGCAGTAGAGTGATATCTCGGGATACCCTGGAACGGTGGGGAAGCATTTATCACCGGAGGTGGATAAATGTTGCCGGAAATTTGGAAACTTGTATCCATTCCATCTGAAAGCATTTCCCATAAGCTAGCTGTGGAAGTTAGACTTGGAGAGGTCAGCACAGGAGAGTGTGTTGGATGGGCGGGCAGCCGTAGATGGGGATGAGACACAGAATGTTGACTTATGGATGGGTCATCTTCAACCTCAGCTGTCTGAAAGTCTCTGGAATAGTTGTTAGTGTTTATAGGCAAGAAGCCCGTATGGTTTCCAACCATGGTAACGTCTGACTGTTGGACGAGCTGGTTAGTGCTTGTACCAGAGACTGGATCCTGAATGCTAAAGCCTTCTGCAGTCGCTAAATGGCCAACATTATCTTTGAAATCCCGAGATTTTATTGTACTGGCAGCAGAATTTAAACCACCGGGAGGAGCAGTTGAAGCTGAGTGAGTTTCCCAACTTGTGGAGTTAATTGTGTGCCCGTTCACATCATAATTTGTTTGCTGCAGCAAGCCAGATATCATTGGTTCTGTTGAAAGGGATCCAGTTTCTGCTGCAAGAGAATGCCAGAAAACATCTGTGATTGCTGGCTTCTTCTTGTCTCCCATTGTTGAGAAATCATAGACCTCACTGGAGGAGGGAAATGCTGTCACCTGTTTGGAAGCTGAAACTGGCAACTCAAAATGGTCCGTCACAACTGTGTAAGTATCTGGCTTGGCGATGGAAGAGCTATGAGATGGGGAAACAGTCTGGGTGGCTCGTGCGAAGGGGATGGAAGATGGAGATAATTCTGAAGGAAGGAGGTTTGTTCTTGGTGGTGTAATGTCTGAAGAAACCCGATCAGTGCTAAAATCAGAGGTGACTCCACTTACAGTGTGAAGACTTGGCCTCTCTTTACTTGAAACGGTCTGGAGAGCAACTGTCAAATTTGCCTTTTTGTTTTTCTTTAAAACAGCTGTTCCGTTACCTTCTTTCTGCAGGGGAAATGTCCAAGTCGTGGAAGGAAGATTAGGAAATGTGCCTGAGAGGAGCAGGTCTGCAGCTGCAGTAGGCGAGGATCCATAATTGCCTGCTTCTTGAGGAGTTGGCATTGGGGGCATGGCGGATGGAGAGGCATGATTCCCTGCCAGCTGGAGGAAAGAAGGCACGGAGGGGAAGTCCGCCACTGCGCCATTTGATGGGGATGTGAGAACCTCCCCAGAAAGGATTTCTTGCCCTCGGCTGGCTGGGGTGAGAGGCAGAGAAGGCACCAAAGGGGAGGATGTGTGTTCTGCCGAAAGGGTGGGCCCTCTGGAATTCTCTGGAGCTGCTGACAAATGCAGGGGGTGAGCAGAGTCCTTGGCAGCAGCAGGGGCTGCCTTTCGGCTGATCATTCCCACAGCCACCGATTCTGCAGCCTGGACAGGTGAAGACACAGCCTCATGGGTTGTGGTGCTCTTAAAGGCTGGCAGAGACACCCCATTACGTGCTCTTCCAGCCACCTCAGCTTCAGTTGGCTGGGTGGATGCAGGACTTGGAGCCCCTTCCAACACCGATGATGAGGGTGTTCCACCGGGAAGCTGAAGAAGACTTCCGGGAGCTAGGGGAGGGACAGACAGACGGGCCAGGCCGGCCACGGAGCTCAGAAACTCAGGTGTGTGAGAGACTGCTGAGCGAGGACCCTCTGCTGGGCTTGAGGATCCAGGAAAACCTAGATGAGGGATGCCTATTAAATCCTGGGCATTTTTGGATGGAGTCTGGTTCATTTCCTCAGCAAATGGGTTTAGGGGATTAGCTATGCTCTGACTTGAGGATGAGTCAGTTGGAGCTGTTTGGGGGAATAAAAGCACTTTGGTGGGTTGCTCTGCTGGCTTAGAAAAGATGATGGAATGAGGTGAGGCAGGAGCCAATGAAGGAGGTGAAGATGAGGGGAGAGCGTCTGCCCTCGGGGAATGTAGTTCTGCCGTGGAAGGAGTCCCTACCCACGGTGGCCAGGATGGGAGGTCAGCATGGAAGGACGCCACTGGTGGGAGAGGGGACAGTGTGGGAGGCATGCTGGTGTGAGGCAAACCTGACACGGCGGCTGCTTCTTTTCCCCCTGGAGGTCTTGGTTGGACCAGGGCCTCAGTAGAATCCTTGGAAGGCTCAAGGGAGGCGCTATGTCCACTGCCTTGGTAAGGGGAAGGAGAGAAGTCCCCGTGGGCCCGAGCTTGGCGCTGTGTCTTGGGCGGAGGCGTCTGGGCAGACTGCGGCCAGCTCGTGTTGTCAGGGGACCATCCCGGCACAGGCTTCATTCTGTCCACCGCTGAGGAAGACTGGACTTCGGACAAAGGCCATGTTGGTGAAATCGGTAACAATTTCCCATGAGGAAATGACACCGGGGTTGGGGTGACAGTGATCTGTAGATTGTCCCTTCCTGTGAAACAAAGGATCAAGCAGTCAGGCATCGGCTCATCATAGGTCCTGGAGAGAAGGGTAGGCCAGACAGGCACGGCTCGGACCTCACAGAGCTTCCACCACATCACAGAAGACTCATTAAACACATTCGAATGATAACTTAGGTAATTACAAATACATAGATGCTGCAGCTAACCTACAGGGCAGGGTTGGTGAGAAGTGGTCTCTGATGAAGTGACGCTTAAGCAAAGATGTGGAAGATACTTGTGTATTTTAAATCTCTTTTCTGTTCCACCTACAAGGGCTGGACTGTGAAACTCACAACCTGGAAAATCAAAGATGAACATGGCTCCCTGCCATGGCCAAGGACACCAAAATAAATCCCATCCAATAATCCAAAATGCAAAAGGAAAGGACTGTGTATCTGAATGCAAATCCTTTTTTTCAGACCCTAGGGCATCTCAAGCACAAAAACTGAGGTTGCCTGTGTTTGGAAACATGGCACCAAGGAGACATATTTATTTTGTTGGATGTAAAAGGATTCCTGATGCTATCGTTCACCCCATGTCAAATAGCAAAGGGGATTTCTTTCAAATTAGGCTATTTCTGAGAGAAAAACTATTCACATCCCATCTAGGACCAGAGACACCTCTCATGAGGCCTGGTGTCACTCCCAGTACCTGCAGAGAAACCAGAACTGTCAGCACTAATGAGCAAAACTGCAGGCAGAAAGGCGAGGAGATGGGGCAAAAAGGTGACTCCGCAGGAAAGGAGGCAAGGAAATAACTGATCAGAAAGCTGGGAATTCCATGCTTGGGAAGAGAAATGACATCCTGCTTGAGGATTCTCTGATCCCCCTTTCCACAGTGGTGCCGATGGTGTTGATGACCCCCCAGAGGTGGCTAAGTGCCCTTAAATAGTATTTTAAATTAAAAATAACAAAGAAAAGGTATTCCTAGAGTTTTCTATGTTATTGGCCAAAAAAAAGTTAGAACCGGGGCTTCCCTGGTGGCGCAGTGGTTGGGAGTCCGCCTGCCGATGCGGGGGACACGGGTTCGTGCCCCGGTCCGGGAAGATCCCACGTGCCGCGGAGCGGCTGGGTCCGTGAGCCATGGCCCCTGAGCCTGCGCGTCCGGAGGCTGTGTTCCGCAACGGGAGAGGCCACAACAGTGAGAGGCCCGTGTACTGCAAAAAAAAAAAAAAAAAAGTTAGAACCATCTGATAGAAGCAGACATACCAAGAGCTGAAGTCAGAAGACCTGCGTTCGCACGCACCCTCTAGCCACCCGCGGCTGTGTGTGCATCTGTGGATTGCTGTGGCGGGAGTGAGGGCAACAAGCACACTCTAACTACCCCACTGGCTGGCTGGGAGGAACAGAGGAAATCAAGGAGTGGAAGGAAGGGGTCCCCAAGCAGAAAAGCACCAAACAAATGCTTAAAAAAAAAAATCACTAAACAAGTGAGCGGTCAGTACAGGCTCTAAGTCCCTGTGTTTTCTGTTTATTTGTTTAACAAAAGAGGACGCTATGGTCCAGAGTGGAGACATCATTGCCAGAAGCCACATAACCCATCAGGGACAGAAGCAGGTCCAGATGCGAGGTTTCCTCACACCCATTGCACTGTCTCCTTCCCAACTGCTTCTCCCAAACCAGTTCTAGCCTTCACTCCACCCCCGTTGCATCCTCTGCCACCAGAAAACCAAACAACTAAAGCTGAAGCGTTCAAATATTTGAGCCTTTAGAATATGAACTATACTCTCAGTCACAAAAGCCTAAACAGTGATGATTTTCTGAAATATTGTTTTCGGTTTCATTTTTTAAGATGGAAAAAGCAAGGACAGACGATGTCTTTTACTCTGAATTAACACACAAAAAATAATGTTCCTTTCTTATTCTTTGTTTTCTTGTTTTAAAAATCCCCCATTCTTGGGATTTACAGATACCCAAGGAGTTAACCGTAAGTCATTTTTAGAACACATCAGGATATAAGCCAATACTACAGCAGTTGACGGCCTTGTTCATTTAATTTTGCAAGTGAGAACCAACCCCTTCTCCTGGGCAAGCCATCTTCATAAGCCAGGCTCAGCCTCTTTGTCTCTTTATCGCCAGATCAGAATCACTACAGCCCTTACCTGCAGGACCCAAAGCTTCCTCCTGCCTCTGTTAGCAAAAATGCACCTCTTACAGGAAAAGTGCCAAACGTATATACAGCTATAGGACAAAAAAGTCTACACAGCCTTTCATTAAAATATCTGCACTCCCTGGGAACTGCCTCATGGTTTGCAATGAAAATTGTGTTTCTGTTACCAAACTCAGCCTAAGGAAGTATCCATGCTCCCTTGATCGCAATTTTACATGGAAGGCTGATACTACTGTCATGCCTCAGTCCTTCTTGTTCACGATGCTTATCTCCTAGATAGACTCAGCTTCACACTTGTCATGCAGTCTTGTCTGGTTATGTATATAGGCGGTACTTACATGAGTGAATATAACATCCATCTAATGTAGTTTTTGCATTTTGGCATTTTCCATTAACACTTTAGAATCCATTTTTATTACTGGCATGTCAGATGAAATCTATGTAGAATTTCTTCTTTTGTACTCGCATTGAAATAGAGTCAACCATGGGTTCAACTCATGGATTCAAGAGTCATACCAAATTAAACTGTTTTCAAGTTAAGTACCCTTCTAAGTCAAAAAGGATGTGACAGGCAAAGCAGTTTTTGCTTTCAGAAATATTTTTTACAAACTCTTTCATAAAAATCTTACAAACAGGAAGGGAAAGTGGGTGTTGGATGATTAATACAAGGGGGATTGTAACTGACTGAATGGGCACAGCCAAAGGAGGCTGAAGTAAAAAATAGTCTCTAGTGGACTTGCCTCTGCTAAACCTTGTTGTTTCTAGACTAGAATCCAGTGTTTCCCAAGCTATCCCTTACAAAACACAGTGTCCCAAGATGCCTCATGAGGAAAAGTTTCAACAAGCTAACAATTTTGAGAAGTGCTGTATACTACACTCACACCTAACAGTCACTAATGTTATTCACCATATATTTCTGGCTCTCCACCTTCAGAGAATATAATAGGACTGCACTTCCCGGATACCTCTGTGGTTGGGAAGGGCCATGTGACTAGTTCTAGTCAATGAGTTGTGAGCAGAAGTGACAAGTGTCACTTCTGGTCTAGAACATTTATAATCAATGCTGGAGCAAGACTCTCCAGAACTTGCTTCCTCTGAAGAAAAAAAACAAAACAAAACACCCTAATAGCAATATTATATCTCAGTAAGCTGTTATGAGGAGGAACCTAGTAATCTTCAAAATGTCCACCAGTCTGAGTCCCTTAGGGACTATAATAAGCAAAAGCCCTCTGCTGTAAAAGTGTGTCCAGGTAGCATGAGCAAAAAATAAGCTTTTGCTCTTTGAAATCACTGCAATTTGGGGGTTGTTTGTTACCGCAGCATAACCTAACTTACCCTAACCTATTCGGAAATTGGTATCAGACTGGATTTGGAACTTAAATGGGCATACTCCCATGTATATCAACATTTAAATAAAGGCTGAGAAGTCCCATAATCAAGAAAACATAAGTGCCTGGGATGCAGTAAAAAACTCCATGAATTGATGTTGGATGGTTTAATAACTTTGGCCAAAATTGATCAAGTATATTTAACTTCTGAAATATGTTTAGGATATTTCTCAAACATATTTTGACCTCAGAACTTGGTGACTAAAAAAACCCCACTGACATACATAAAGCTAAGGAAGAAAGCATGTTCATTGAATTCGCAAATGATAGCAAATTCAAAAGAATAATTGATATGAAGAATTCCAGAGAAACGCTTCAAAGACATGTCAACTGACTGAAATTACTGTTGAAGGAAGACATAAATTAGGATTAAGTATAAAGGCTTACCCTTAATCCACATATTACCCAGACAAGAACAGAATGGGGGAGCTTCCCTTTAAGGATAGCTTATGTTAATTATAGGTAGGGTTGACTGGAGCTCATTATAAGCTACAATAGGAATGTAGGCTAGCAAGAAAAGTACAAATTCTTAGGCTGCATTAAATTTTTTTCACTCCTAAAATAAAAAACTATTGCACACTTAGGAATTAATATTTATAACATCTGTATGTAAGAATAAATACATAAAGAATAAATAACAAAAAACATACACGGTCTCCGGCTTCATGGACCTCACAGTCTGATGGGAGATGTGGAGTTAAATCAGACATTCTCACAAATGTGAAAATGATACATGTTACAGATGAAAGATGCATAGTCCTTAAGAGCATGCGATAACAGGATGTGACCTGATCAGGGAGGTCAGAAAGCACATCACTGAGAAAGTTACTATCAAGTTGACAG